GCACGCTGAAAAGGTATGTAACATACCGGTAGAAGGTCACGCCTCGTTTCCACGGGTGACGGGTGCACAGACATTGAAGGACTCGGTACGGGATCCGACCTCGTCCTTGATGGTGCTCGCGATGTCCCATTACTCTCTGATTTTGATGATGTTTTTGACATAGGCTTCTGGGGAGGTTGCACGCGGGGGGCCATTACGGATGTCGGAATCAAAGGTCGTGACTTGATCAAAGGGCTCTTTCAAAAAAAATTTAGGCGGTCAGAAAAATGACCACGCACCTGCGCCCCCTGTGGTCCCCCGGACTGGTCTACAAAACGAATGGCAGGGTAATACGGCTGCCCCGACGCTCCCCCGTACGGTTGTACTTGTGGTCCCGTTGAAATAGGATATCCTCCCGGCTGATTTATCCGATTCACGGTTTCATTTTCAGAGCGTGAGGGGGGCCTTGTTCCTGTGGAACTAGATGGTGCTGGTTCATCCCCTAGTGGCCGTGAATTGGTCCTTTGTGGTGTCACTGGAGTACTGCTACTATTTCCTTTCAGATCGAGAATCCCCAGGCCCGGGCCAGTATCCCTCCTCTGCTGCATGAACAAATAGAAGAGAAGCAGACAGAGATTATTTCCTCCACAGAATCACGAACACGTAGGCCTGAAAAGGGCGTCGATTGGGCGTAGGAAGAAGTTGGGAGCAAAATTCGGCCCTTATATACCGGTTTATTTAATCATTTCCCACGGTCCCTTTTCTACTGATGCCGATCGCGCGCTTAAAACGGCCACTGCCCTAAATCAGTACATACTGTATGGAGCACTGCACTGCCTTGACAGGTGGCTTCTGTGTCCTTTCTAGGCTCTTCAGCGCTCAATCTTTGTGGGAAACACCTGTTGCTGTTACTATTGCTGTCTTTTTTGAGCCTCTTTATGTCCTCCCGGGAAGAAATCTGATCGTTCGATTGCATCGTGACCGGTCGCGCGATCGAAAAATGGTCCACTTGCAGCAATATCTATGATCTCGGCGTTGAACACTGCTCCCTCTGTATTCCATGGATCATTTCCCGGTGTGTTGAGGTCCGCAAGCATATCACACTCCACGCTATTTCCACTTTCACATATCCCGGTATGGTATGTCTTTAAATATCGTTCCACCTCATGGTGTCCACGCTCCCACGACCGCGCGTGTTTCGCGGTGATCATCGGTGATGGAGACATTAATCCAGCGAGTGGGAACTTGCAATCTCGACGCATTGACGGATCTTCCGCGATCACAATGTAATTATTCCTTAAAGCAGTCCTGTGGGTAAGATAAACCCAACCGTGCTGTGGCTACAACTATCGATCATATATAGTTGGCTTTCTAGTCATCGTGCCTCGGTCCGACTGCTTTATCTCAAACGACTGGGGTCGGAAAAAGTACGGTATACGTTTACTACACGTTAAAGGTTCTTGTAACCTGACATTCTTTCAGCCTCATGTCCGATCCATCGCACTTCCCAAGAGAATCCCGTTCAGCTTTCTCAATACACACTATTCAGCGAAGGGACACACAAACGCCCCTTATCGGGGTCTTCTGACAGTTTCTCTCCGTCTAAGCGGCGGCGGCACCGCGAAGAAAATGAACCCGTCGGTAATTGATTCCTCAAAAGCGACGCGTACCCCAGCGGCCCGGTGCTGAAAATGAATTCTTGTACCAAGCTGGCTCTCAAAATGCCATGAGAAGGTGATGCTTTCCGAGAAGGTCGCGGAATTGATCAAGTCTAGGAATGTTGTTGTGCGGCGACGCTGGAGAGGAGGGATACAAGATTTGAGTTATGAAGACAATGGAAGAGTAAGATGTTTCTACGGTTAAAACGCCAACGGATGAGGTAGCGCGATGTCGGAGAAAACTTGAGAGCGCACAGGAGACAACGATAAGAAAGGGTGGGCAGACCAAACAGCAGACCCGTGTTCAAGAAGTGTTTTTTAAATGTCTTCCGATGTCTATTTTTGAACCGAACAGATGCTTTCCATTTGGACGCGGACTCAATTCAATAGCTTATACTATCCCATCATATGCTCAAGCTATACTCAATATTCATTCCCAAGTTAACTCGAACAAATGTGACGGAATTCACGGGTCACAAGTGAATGAAAGAATAAATACAAATAAATAGAGAGCTGGGAAGCAAGAAGTCAAGGGGGAGCGGTATACAAGAGGCAGAACGTCTGCCGATGAAGGGGAGAGCAATACATCTGGACCCATACGAGTAGCGTAAAAATCACTACTCAGTGCCCCTTCATCGAGACTTTATTTCTTGGCGCGCCTCACATTCCTCACACGGTATGCCGTTGTATCACATTAGGTATCTTGAAGAAGATGATGTGAAAGTATTTAAGGTGGACCAATCCGCCACCCACGGGAAGGAATCTAATGGTCGGAAGACAAGTTGATGAGAACGTCAGAACGTTTGATTATTTGCTGATCATATGAATCCTTCACACGGAATACTTCCTACACCATCAATATACAAACAGAAGAAGAAAGATTGTTACCAAAACAAAAGTTCGTATCACAAGGAGCTCACACTTGACACTGCTTTGACGATCATCTTTGATCATATCTTGGGGTCGATCGACGGTGCCGACATCAGCCGACGACGCGCTCAAAAAGGGCGATATCCCGGTATTTCCCGAAATAGACACACGTCGTGGTTGTGTGTTCCTGTTTATCGTATACCGTGCCTTTCTCTTCCACTATGACGACGATGGCGACAATAATAATATCGCTACACTTTCCTGTGTAGTTAATTATTATATCGCTCACCCTATCCTGTCGCCAAGTTGCTGCCCTGCGCGATACAAACCCAGCGCCGGCGAATGCCCATTCGGGATCCTTGGACAATTACGCGCTTTGCATACCTGAAAGGCACGATATAGCGCATGCATGCTTCGGACTCTATACGTGGACATCTCGATCTTTCTCACAATAATCAAGTTTCGTCGGACGCCTGGCAGGACCCGAACTTCCTATTTGATATTCCTTCCTACAATGTCGACGCCGCACGTACTTGCCTTTAATTGTTTTCTTGCATTCGCTATAACGTCAGATGTACAGGGAATCCCCCAGGCCTTTTGTCTTGGGAACCCGGGGGATCTGATGGGACTCCTTAGCGCCCATTGTCTTATTGTTCGGTCGGCCGGAATGAATCATTGCGTCCGAATTCAGCAAGAGTACTAAAGTCAAAGCAATTTGCTTCCGTGGAACGCGATTCTGCTTCCGTCCACTGGCTGGTCTGCGGAAAGGAAAGAATACTCAACCCCTTAGTTTATGGATAGCGGTGCTGTCCCTAATACGATACAGACTAGTGTGTGTTCATTCTTTGCTTTATCCTCACAATATACTCATACGCGTCGGGACAAAAGCCCTACCTAAATCGACCAAGTACGATCGCAAGCCTGTTGCCTGCTCATCGTGCATCTCGAACCCAATAATGACAGTCAGATATTCTGAACAGGTTTGTCATTGATCTGTTCGTCTTTAAACCTCTTCTAATCATTTCTAGGTCCTTCCAGGATGCGTACGCTTCTATGATGACGGCCTGAACCCCCAAATTGACTCGTTAGACTACGTATACGCTAAGTCTTCGAAGTATAGGAGGTCTCAGCAATTGCCCAACAGTCGCATCCAACCCCAACGCCGTCTCAGTGCCGACGTGGACATGTGCGACTATCGTCCCCCATTACTTCCGCGAAGACCAACGTATGACCTGGAGCGCCCACGAATCGAAGTACGCCGGCCAGTCGTCGTCCTGCCTAACCCTCAAACACCCCTACCTATTTCCATACCATCATCCTCGCGCCAGTCATTACCACCTCTTCACCTGTCGGAAAGAAAGCCTCCACCATCTATACTTCCTCTTCACGGGCCTCGCCCGCTTACTGCTGATAATTTAGCTCAGTTCAATTTGCAAGAACATCTCCAACCAGTGCCGCTGCATCTTTTGGGTCGGCGCGCTCTTATTCCGAACGCTCAGCCTTCTCCCAGACATATACATTCTCTGCCGTCCTTCCCACCGTCTGCCCAGCAGCATAGACAGACACAACATATCCCTATCTCCCTCATGTCCAACCCTTGGATCCGCTCTATCATTACGACCATCCGCTCCTCATGCGCTCAACTTCTCGTTCGTGAGCGTCAGGAGAAGGAAGAGATCCGGAAGGAATTACATGAGTTGAGAAGGAGCGTCAAACGGCCGTTAAGTGAAGGAAGAAGCTCCTATTCGCGTGAGAGTAGTAGCTCGCGGACAAGTGACGAACTTCAGTATCCAACTCCGACTCCGAAGCGAAGGCGATTGTCAGCTTCATCTGAAGACGTTAGGCCTGTCTTGCAGGTATTTCGGTCGGTGCCGCAAGGTCGTGCTACAGTTTCGGTGCCCCTAGTTGAGGACATAATACAACCGCGGGTGAAGGAAGAGGAGGTTGAGGTGTGCATCACTGAGATGAAGGTAGCCAAAGCGCTCAAGGAAGATGAAGCTTCACCTCCGCCTGGTCTTTCGTATCTTCCGGTTCTCGAGTCATTGCCGGTGATTGGACCATGGGACGTCGATGATGAGATGGGTGAGTCAGATATGGACTTGGAGGGCGAGGGGGACCCAGAATTGGAGGAGGGGGAGATATATGAAGATCGTTCTCTTGTGTCCCCGTCCCCGTCGACGAGCACAGATTCATCAGGGGTCACATTAGTCGACGCAGTGGAGAACAAGTGGTTGAACGTGGTTACGATAAGATAATTATTTTATGATACGATGATTATTCTTACCTTATTCCAATCATGTCCGGTCGATTTTTATTAATCTTCCTTTTCTTGTAGTATATATGTTGTAACTCGCGGGTGTACCGTGCTTGAAAACATTCTGCATAACCAAACATAACTTTACGTTCCGGTTGTGAGTTTTGCCTGTATTGACCTTGAAAGTTCTGATAATTACATGACGGAATGAGTAGCATGAGCCTTGCGTAAGCCCACTATCGGATATGGTGTAACGGCTAACATTGCCGCCTCTCATCTATCACATATTGAGATGGATTTCGCGGCAGCTCGGGGTTCGATTCCCCGTATCCAAAATGCACACTTTTTAACGCCTAGTACTAAGCAGCCGCCGGCAAGACTCAAGTTCTTAGTTGCAACATGCCACTACCAGTAATACGTGTAATTAGGAAGTTGGAAGTTGGACTCCTTCAGGACTCAGTTGCCCGGGTCAGTATATACTATAGTGTGCATCTCGGCACGAGCCTCCTTGTTGTGTTCAATACATTCAAAGGTGGTAAGTGCAGACTCTCCCTATGGGGTGCTTTGATACGATATTCCACCAATTTTTTTATACCATTAAAGAATTTATTTTACATTGCAAATGGTATATATGCCTACTACGACTGAATACGGTTAACCTTGCAGTTTGCTAATATACGTAATCGCATATCGGGTAGGGTTTCTGGACGAAAGTCCTCCTAATGGAGGGAGGGGTGTGTTCTCCTGAAGGATTGCTGGCAAATGCAGTATAGGATAAAATTTTCCATCGTGCGTTGCGAAAGAAGCTCAAGGGGAAGAATAAGATCGTTACAATAGGTGCGACCCTTTAAAACATTTAGGTAGATTTTGGTGTCACCACGTTGCTTTCACCTAAAGATAATACAACCACCTGGCACGTCAACGAAGTTCAAACTTCAAACCCAAGAGGACCGAAGACACGTTTCCCACGATCTATTACTCCGGCAAACGCCGTGACGGATTGCTGATCATGCATTACATAATTTGATGGCCGTGAGGCGGCAACGCCTCAAATCGATCATGTCCAGTCATGTCCTGAGCTTGGCCGCGGCAAGCCTTCATGCCGGGCACCACGTTTCAACAGCTTGTGCGACCTTTTCTGCGCGATTACTGTGACGATACACTTTATCTCTCAGATTTTTCTGTTTCTCGGTCCACCAGGCGCTCCAAGAACATTCATTACTGAATCTATCTGTTGCCACTAGCAGTACTATCCTGTCCGATGCGGAAGCACGGAGTTGGACGGTGCATGACCTAGTCCCTCAGACAAAGCGTCGTCTGCCAGATACTAAGATACTACAGGCTCTACGATCCAAAGGTTTTGGCTTCGTTCCGTTGCCTTGAAGGACCCCGTGGTGCGTCCTGTTTGTACTTATCTTTTCACCATCTTCCATGGATACCCCCAACGTATCGAGTTCCTAATCAATGCCAAGGATCAAGGTGAACGATCAACTTTTGAAAGCATTCGTCTTCATGTATACTCTAAAGATAGAAGTGCATCGTATTTGCAGTAACGACTAACAACTATTGACAGCGTTTTCTGATTTCATCGTCGCTATCTTGATCAAGGAGGATGTGTAATTATCTACACAAAGCAGAAAGCTTCCCCTCTTCTCTACTTACAAAAACTACTTTAGAACTTCAACCTTACTTACTCGTCTGCACCAGCGCTTCGTCCATGCTTCTCGACTTGAAAAACTGGTCGTCATATCCGGTTTCTTCGGAAGTAAAGATTTCATTTGTTTGTGCTTGCCCGAATCTGATGCACCTGCAGAATATGCGAAGTGCTCATTGTCGTCATAGTACATAGCCTTCAACCACCGTCCTGTTCTGATATCTGAGCCTCATCTCAAACTACCTCACTTTTCCTGCCGTCGATTTCGTCGGACCAAAATTTCAGGCTATCTCAACTTCGTTTCTTATTGATCCAATTTGATGATACAGTACATGTCAACGGCTCCCTTGGACTGACGCGTCAACGTCGTTATACGCTGATTCTATCTGGATTAAGCTTCTGCAGGGCCACCAATTATATTCAATCAGGACGATTCTTCAACTGAAACAAAAATAATGGTATGTTTTATGGTCCGTGATTATCTTCCACATAGATGTTCACATTCTTTCTCCAGGACGTGAGCATTCCGAGCCTGAGCCGTCCGGTTCGGTTCCTGAATGATGCGAAAACTTTCTATTCATGCATCTCGTTGAACCCATGTAGGATCGAGGTGCGCTGATGGCATACCAAGCCGCAGGCACAATGTATAGCGACGTTTTAGGGAAACTTGCGAGTTCCTTTGCCCAATTGTGACAGTTATCGTGGACCCCGTTTCGCCTTCAATTGAAAGGGGGTGACTGCGTAGCAACATTCAGCAGGCGTCCATCCTTTGATGCACTCGGGAAGAGCCGCACGAGCCAACTCACAATTCGGCAGTACGAACTAGTGAATTTGCATGGTAAGACGAGCTCATTCTTATCAGCGTATGCGATCAGTTCACCTTTTACATTTAGTAATGCAGGAGTAATGAAGGAGTAATAGTAGACGTCTTTTCCGTTTCGAGCTCATCGTACCCCTTGTCCTCGATACCGGCTTATGGCTAGTCGACTCAAAAAGACGAATAGCCAATCAGTCGGCAAGCCCAATCCGGACGAGGATGAGGAAGCAGCGAGGCCTAAGGTTCACAGGTTCCAAAGAACTCTCCATCCCAAGTATTTGTTGGTAACCCATATATTAGGTTTCTTGTCTCCTTTGCATTGGATACTAACCATGATAGTAGAATGGCTCGCACTTGAATGGCGAATAGCGGGAGCCGTAGATGTGAAGATCTGGGATGTGATATGTGACATGAAGGTGATACAATGGCAAACAGCACCCAGAAGGTGCTCATGGCCAGCCGGAAGAAAGCTTCGCGGCACCGCCAGGCTACCTGGGAACAAAGTAAGTCCGAGTCTATGATGATGGCCTGGCCTTGCGGACGTATATGAAAAAGCTTACATCTTTGTGTGATAAGGAATACCCTATGGAAATTACCCTACGACGCAAATAAAGTAGCCGCCAAGTAGTGGAAGTGCTGGGACCAGAATATGAGGTAGGAATAGCGTCATGACGATAGGAACGTCTGGTGGCACGGACCGGGTTTCGCACCTTTGCGTTGACAGCAGATGAGGCGAGGCAAAACTTGAATGCAAGGCAATGGATCGCTGACTGGTTTGCTCTGAACCAGCACCGAAAGGACTCAACACGAGGATCGGTTCCGGTCCCCCCCCCTCTCACTAACAGTTACCACCTTCTTGCCTTCTATCTCCTGGCATCCACCACCTTGATTTCAATTGTGCTGAACGTGCGAACATGGTCAACAAGTGAATCATCATTTGTGCGTTGATGCATGTTACCGGGCCGATCCGAAACGTTGGCCCGTGCCTGTGTCAACCTACATACCTTATTACCTCCCTCGACGCGACTCCAGCATGACTTGTGCTTTGCGCCACCATATCTTCGCATCTATTCTCATTTTCACCTCGTGCTGCGATGCTTTCCCCGATAAGTGAGTGACCTCGCCTCACCTCGACCATCTCCAACTAGATGGCACAGCTCCTTGCATTAAACCCAGAGGTACCCAGACTAATGATTTAGGTGTACATCCGGGTGACAGTCGATGCATTCCACCTATATCTAACGAGACACGCAGATTTATCCGACAAATCTGCATTTATCTCGTTTGCGACGATAAGAGCGAATGGCTCGACTTTCGGTGATTAAATCATAGTGGAAGTGCCTTCTATCGCCTTGAAAACACGGGTATTAATGTGAATGATCATCAGGAAGCAAAGAAGAGAATGTCTATTCTTGTATAAGATTCATATGCAATGACAACGTCATCTAGCACCCAGCAACAGCAACAGGTGACTGCTTTTACCTTCGTCTATCAGTAAGAATCTAAATCGATGGAGGGTCGCAGTCCTTATAGCTTGTTTTCGACGAATCATTCAATGGATACACGAGGTGATGCTTCGAATGATCGTTCAGTAGTCTCTTCACTTGCCTCGCACGATAACTTCCCATGCTTGGTTCGTTTATAACTCGCTTGTGTCACATTCCTGGATGTCTAATACTGCAGGGCCCATCAACCGAATCAATTCTTTGAACTGCCGTAAACTTCATCATTCCATTCCGCTTACATGCGAATGTGCGGACGGCAGAATCACATTAATATCTCTGTTGCCTCGTTCTTGCGGTATCTCTCTCTTGTCCTTTACGAACGAGCACAGTATGCCCACAGACATTCTAGACGAGAGTCCACAGGATCCCATTGACAATGACAAAGGGAGTGAAACTGCTGATGAGCTGGACGATTCAGCGCGACACTCCCAAATTTCATTGGATGATCCTAATAATTCTCATCCTTCGTCGCCTCCTGCCAGTACGTCCGACAAAGCGAAGAAAGCGCCCTTACATAGTGGTGAGGAGCACACGGCGTGTCGAGCTAGGAGAAGGCATCCAGGCATTTTTGCTCTGCCCTCGCACTCTACAAGCACGGCTGCAGGAGCGTCGACTGGTATGTGGAATTTATCTAAGCATTTTCTCTCTCCTTACGCGTACAATTCCAGCTGACTATCGGGCATATGCACCGAGTCCGCCTTTTGAAGAAGCGGGCCCGACGTCTTGCATTTGGCGAGCTTATCTGGACGAAAGCTTGGTTTACGACACCGATATGCTTGGTAACCAGAGAGGACAAGTGAATATCCTCCTCGTTTTTGTAAGCTAATTCAAGTCAAGCCATGATGTATCGCCTCAATTTCTCCCCCTTGTAGGCAGGACTGTTCTCTGCAATTGTCAGCGCATTCATTGCGCAATCTGCCGAAAATCTCCAACCAAACTATAAGGAATTGTCGGCCCTTTTACTCTTCGATCAAATCAATATACAACGTGCCCTAGCCAACGGCACTTCCCTCGACCTCATAGCCACATCGGGCGCTGACCCCACGGCTCCTTTTACGCCACAGACTCTGGATTCATGGATCAACGGACTATGGTTCGCAAGTCTTGCTTTCAGTCTTGCAACCGCGTTATTCGCCGTCCTTGCAGACGAGTGGTATTGTCATTATCTTTCACCGATCGCCGGGGACCCACAAGTTCGCAGTCGTACTCGGCATTTACGTTACAAGGGTCTTCTTGATTGGCGTGTCAGCACCTTAATTGGACTCCTACCGCTCATGTTGTACCTATCACTCGGCTTGTTTGCAATTGGCCTGGTGCTTTATCTCCTACCGCAGCAGGAGAAAATTGCACTCGTTATAG